GGTATCTTTATTTGCAACTTTTGAGAAAGCGCCACAATGCTTTCCACAGTGGTTGCACCATTTTACACTCCCACCAACAGTGAATCAGGGTTCCAGTCTCTCCACAACCTTGCCAGCATTTGTTGCTTGCTGTTCTGTTAAATTTTGCTAGTCTTACTTGAGTGCACTGTTACGTCACTGTGTCAGCTCTTCTTGTTCAAGGTCTTCCTTTCTTTGTCTGACTCTCTAACTTTCTAATCACAGTATCTTTGTCCAAGGACTGGTTCCTTCTGATAACTTGCCCTAACTATGTAAGATGTAGTTTCACTATCTTTTGGCAGTCCGTGGAACACTCAGTGCTCTTCTCCACTCCACAGTTCAAAGGCATCAGTTTTTCAGTCATCTTTACTCATTGTCCAGAGCGGGCATGGGGCATTGAAGCATCTTCTTTGTCCTTCCTCAGGCTGGAGTGCATTGCCAGGGATGCTGAGTTGGTAGACAAGTCTGTGGCAGATCTGAAACGCCTGGGTGAGCTGATTCACAACAGCTGTGCATCAGCAATGCAGGAATATGAAGAGCAGCTGAAAGAAAATGCCAGTGAGGGTAAGTCCGTGAGTTTTAGTGATTCTTCAAACCAACCATTTGTATATTTTGTTGTTAAAGGATTTTTTAAAGAAGACTGGAGTTGTGTGTCACCCATTTCCAATCCTTTGAAGTGTGTATTCCTGCCACCTTCATGTCAACTCTGTGTTGTTAAAAAACCTCAAAGACTGCTTAATATTAAGTTGGTGGATGAGAAATAGGTAGAGTGATGAGTAGAGTGAATTTAGGGTATGTATGTTTGATAGGAAGTTAAAGCTGAGTGGAGGCATCCAAATTTAGCTATAATAGAGAAGATGGTAGATCACAGATTCCAGTAATAATCTTGGACTTAAAGAAACCCACCAGATACACATAATCCTATTATATTGTGACAGACTTAACATATTTAGAGACTTGATAGAAATAAGCAACATATTGGATGAATATGGTTTGATATGGTGAGATTTTTATGTCAACTTGTGATTGGACTTAACCTGCTTTGCTTCAGAAAGCAGAAGTGGTCTTACCAGTCACCATGTGGTGTCTCTGAGAGTGGGAAGTTCAGAGGTCTTAGTGGGGAGAGAGCTCTTAGAGCATACACTCAGAGCAAGCCTCAATGAGATAAGAGCTTGTCATGCTCGCTCACTTGCCTGGTGTGTCTGTGTTGTTTTCCCCATTCTCTTGTCACCTTTCACTGCTGGGTAAGGCTGATGGAAGTATTCTGGGGCAGCCAGGTACTCACTAGGCACCTTGGTGTTGCCATTTTCTGTCTATAAGATGCTGGGGAAGTTAAATCCCATCAATTCTCTTATTTGCATAATGGAATAGTAGAACCTATTTACCTCAGAGAATTTGAGCAACTAATTGAATAACACCAATTATTATTATTATTATTATTATTATTATTATTTATTATTATTATTATTATTAAATTTTATTAGTTTCAATGAACATTCACAGGGATTCTGGGCTTTCACTCCTTCATTGCCGCACCGTTCTCTCCACCCTCCTCCCCAGTTTGTTCTTCTTCCCCGCCATCCGAATGTCTGTTTTAAT